ATGATGATTCAAGCATTTCATCTGAATTGACAGAATAAGATCATAAGGTAATAATTGATAAACTATGGTCAGGTAGACAAAAACCAAAAATGGAAATAAACAGATGGATGAATGAAAGAAAGTTACCTTAAACAGCTAGATGTCGTAGAGGGAGAGGAATTCTCAGATCAGATAACATGGATATACCCCTGCCAAATAACAAACTACAGTCAACTACAACCTGAACTACCTGTCGTTTACCAAAAAGACCACAATCGTATTTTAAAATAAGTTAGCTAAAAAAATACCATGGACTAAATTCTACACTGTCAGACACATTTATTTAACTTTAACTTTTTAATAGTGAAAACAGAACCAAATTAATATAACAATAAAAGATTTAGAATCAACAGTCTGGGTTCACCAGAAATTTGTGATCAAAATGGAGTCACGATTCAGAAAAGGTTGGGAACCACTGTGATAGGTAGTAACAAGTCACACTGGGATTAGAGGAAACCAACTGCCACTAAGTCATACTGCAAAGATGATGAGAAGACTGAAGACGGATGTAGAGAAATTTCACAGGTGACTCAGGTGATATATAGTTCTACTGTGATCCTGGGTGTACACTGCAGTACATTCTCTCAGTGACACATTTATACTCTCACATAAACACAATGACAAGACAAGCAGCCTCAATGCCTTCACTTCCTCCTACAGTAGCTTGCTACGTGAGATGAGTCACTCACATCTGATCAGAGGTTCAGTTCCTGCTTAACAACCAGAATATCAACTCTCTCTGCAGGATCAGAATTCACAATGTGGCTGTGCAGGACTTGTTTTTATGTTTCAGACATAAGGCTGTGCTTCCACCAAACTGATGGCTTTATGTTTGGCTGAGACTATGTATAGCTGCACTCTCACAGCACATACATATTTTATGAGACCAGGCAGCTACAAGATTGTGACATTCTGGAGGAAGAAAATCCAATCGCTGAATGACCTCCCACATCAGGATCTTCACCAGCGTCACCTGATCAGGTGGTCGTCCTGAATAACAACGAGAGTGCGGTGATGGTTTTGACCTAGATTTGTATTCATGAAGACATTTCGGATCTTACCGAGACAGAGGTGAGGGAAGAACAAGCAGCTTCCAGTGGACCATGTAGAAAACTTGTCAATGTTTGTTCGTCAGCCAGCAGGAGGCGCAAGAGGTCATTTTAAATGGTTAAGAGTCTATCAGGTTTTGTGAAGAACCACTATGAGAAGATGAGAACAGTGACATTCAGCAACAATGTGGATGTACCACCTGAGGAATCAACAGTGACATTCAGGAACAATGTGGATGTACCACCTGAGGAATAAAGTCACATCCAAGAAGGTCCAGACCTTCATCACCTCTGGCTGGGCCATGCAAAATAAGATACAGAATGTGACTCTGAAGAAAGAGCTCAAAGTAAACTCAAAGTTAGCTCAAAGTTAACTCAAAGTTAGCTCATAGTAAACTCAACGTTATCAGGTGGAATATTTAGGTCAGAAAATATTAGACACTAGCCAAATATTTACTATCCCTTTAGAATGTTCATTTTTATTTCATCATACATACAGAAG